GTGACGTTCCTCTGGTCACGTGAGAGGACCAATGACCAGTTTTAAACTCCAGTCTATCAATGGTGGACAATAATTTCCTCTTTTGTGGGGAATCATGAACTCTAGGTAAGTCAGGCCTTTCCCCTCCCCACAGGAACACTGATTCTCCTACTACAGGAGCTGAGTGATTTGATATCCTTCCCAGTTGATAGATACCTGTAAAATACAAACATGATGAGAAACAGGAGGAAGAAAACAGAAACTCACCTTTAGACATTGTTTGTCAAGAATGTTAATTAACAAGCCACACCCATAATAACAATATTCATTACTCATAATCACCCACACCCATATCACCTTCTAAATTAAATCCAATCACTGCCAACATTATAACAATAAGTACAGTAATTATTAGTTGGTTGTATGTCAAGGAATACATCAGGTTAAAACATGTCTTCTTTGCTTGCTGATGAGGTGATGGTCCTGCTATTGAATGCATTGGAATATATTCTTCTTAGTGAGTTAGTGGTGAGTCCAATTAATAATAATTGGTAGTTGGTACTCTCTTGGTGATTATGATAAAAGGTACTTGAGCTAGTACTTACAAGAAATGTACTCACAAACTAACCCTCAGGTATAATAGTAATACAAGATATTACAATCAAAACAATTCAAGTTTTATTATTATTATTATTATTAATGTTAATGCATTATAGCAAACATGACAAACAATATCTTAACTGGAATTATTAGAGATTTTATATTACATGAGAGTTTTGTAGTCAGTACTTGTAACAAAGAGACTAAACTCAAGTGTAGATTGCATTATTCATTACAAGTCAAATATCACCTACTGGACACAACAATAAATAAAATAATGAGAATTACTTTTTATACTATAGTAAACTATTCAAACTATACCTCATAGTATAACTTCATACACTGTAGCCTTCTTGTCTCCAGATCCAGTAACAATAAAACGATCGTCAACTGATATGTCACAGCTTAAGACACTACTGCTTTCAGACATCTGTATGTATAGGATACAATCATTATTTCATTGAACATTAATGTATAATTATAAATAAGACTACACACACACATAATAATAGTAACAAGTACAAATACCACTGTACAGTTAATGTTAATAATAATGGACTATGTACCTGGAATATACTAGCACCATAAGGTGTTCTCCATGCATTTAGTAGATTATCCTTTCCTGTAGTTATAAACCATTTACCACTGTGAGCAAACTTGAGTGACAGTACACAAGACTCGTGTAAATGTAACTGATACTTATCTGGACCACTCACACGAAGGACTTCAACACTAC